ACTAGAGTAGGTTGAGGCAGTAGCTGTAGCTTTTGTATACAGCTCTGTTGACTAGATGCTACACTAGAGTAGGTTGAGGCAGTAGCTGTAGCTTTTATATACAGCTCTGTTGACTAGATGCTACACTAGAGTAGGTTGAGGCAGTAGCTGTAGCTTTTGTATACAGCTCTGTTGACTAGATGCTACATTAGAGTAGGTTGAGGCAGTATCTGTAGCTTTTGTATACAGCTCTGTTGACTAGATGCTACACTAGAGTAGGTTGAGGCAGTAGCTGTAGCTTTTGTATACAGCTCTGTTGACTAGATGCTACACTAGAGTAGGTTGAGGCAGTAGCTGTAGCTTTTGTATACAGCTCTGTTGACTAGATGCTACACTAGAGTAGGTTGAGGCAGTAGCTGTAGCTTTTGTATACAGCTCTGTTGACTAGATGCTACATTAGAGTAGGTTGAGGCAGTATCTGTAGCTTTTGTATACAGCTCTGTTGACTAGATGCTACACTAGAGTAGGTTGAGGCAGTAGCTGTAGCTTTTGTATACAGCTCTGTTGACTAGATGCTACACTAGAGTAGGTTGAGGCAGTAGCTGTAGCTTTTGTATACAGCTCTGTTGACTAGATGCTACACTAGAGTAGGTTGAGGCAGTAGCTGTAGCTTTTATATACAGCTCTGTTGACTAGATGCTACACTAGAGTAGGTTGAGGCAGTAGCTGTAGCTTTTATATACAGCTCAGTTGACTAGATGCTACACTAGAGTAGGTTGAGACAGTAGCTGTAGCTTTTATATACAGCTCTGTTGACTAGATGCTACACTAGAGTAGGTTGAGGCAGTAGCTGTAGCTTTTATATACAGCCGTGTTGACGGTTGACTTTGGCAAAACAAGTATTAAAACTGTCGAATCGATGTCGAGCTATGAGATGATCACAGTTCACAGATGGTTCACAGTGGCAATTTGTTGTCCTTTAGAAAGATCCGTTGGAAAAGTAACTCGTTTTTTTAAAAGCTTGCCTGAACTTTCTGGGTGTCTCGAATATTCGATTTATCGATGCTTTTTAAACAAACAAGATAGAGTATTCAGCATAACAGGAAGTACTCTTAAACACAGTATAGCATAAATACCAACACAGCCAAATATAGAGCTTCTCTTTTTTTTAGTTATGACGGTCAATAGTGCAGATAAAATAGAGAGTATTTGTTTCTGTGACCTCGAATATGATTGTATATTCATATCCCTCTTTTCTATCCCTAACCTGAGTCAAGAACCAAACATAGATCCGAGTTTGTGACTTCCGGATTAGCAGTTGATCACTCTACATCAGGGACTCTCGGTCCGATAAATTACCCATCACATAACCCAAACACGATACGACATAATCCGTGCCCTGAACACGACCAGCACCAGATACAGAAACCCTATCTGTTGACAACAAGCTCAAATTGCTCAAAGCTCAGCACCCAGGTGCTACTGCACCTATTACCCCCCCCCCCCATCGAAATAACAGCATTGATCGTGGGTTGGTTTTGTTTCACGTACACTATTGTTTGACGTGCAACCGGTAGCCATGTCTACTAATTGGCTATCAAACACGTGCAACTGATGTACTCAACAGATAAAAAAAACAACTCACACAGCTCTCTTTGTAAACAAAATAATTTTATAATCCCAATTAATAACGGAAGAGTAAGGTACTTTAGTGAACAGTTAATACATAACTTGTTTTGAAGCTGCTACAATATGTCACACAATCAACTACACGGGTATTTAGCCGCCAGGCAGTGCATGCTCGGATCAACAAAAACAGCTGAAATAGACGACGCCAACAGCCACACAGCTAACTACAGCGGACACCAACAACCACACAGCCGAAACCAACAACCACACAGACGACACCAACAACCACACAGCCGACACCAACAACCACACAGCTAACAATAGACGACACTAACAACCGCACAGACGACACCAACAACCACACAGCTAACTACAGCCGACACCAACAACCACACAGCTAACTACATCCGACACCAACAACCACACAGCTAACTACAGCCGACACCAACAACCACACAGCTAACTACAACCCACACCAACAACCACACAGCTAACTACAGCCGACACCAACAACCACACAGCTAACTACAGCCGACACCAACAACCACACAGCTAACTACAACCCACACCAACAACCACACAGCTAACTACATCCGACACCAACAACCACACAGCTAACTACAACCCACACCAACAACCACACAGCTAACTACAGCCGACACCAACAACCACACAGACGACACCAACAACCACACAGCTAATTACAGACGACACCAACAACCACACAACTGACTACAGCCGACACCAACAAAAAAATCAATAAAAACACCAGCTGTTTGTTTGATATCCTCCCTTTTAACTGGCCAATTGTTTTTTTATCAGTGGTTCTAAAACTGTTGTCATTTGAAGTAAGACGTGGGATGATGGAGAACATGGGATAAGGATACACATTATGGAGAAAGTGGGATAGGGATACACATTTATGATGGAGAACATGGGATAAGGATACACATTATGGAGAAAGTGGGGATAGGGATATACATTTATGATGGGAAAAGTGGGATAGGAATACACATTTGGGTTAAATACCGCTGTATTATCCCGTGAAATGACTGCTGACATTCATTTTGCCATCTCTTCCCCTCCCAGTCGCCAACAGCTAGGTTTAAGTGAAAACAATATGGCAACAGCTGAGTCGTTGAGTCGACTGTTCTTACTCACCTTTTTTTCTGCTAATAGCTCCCGAATTCTGTCGGCCAGTCTTTCCATCTCACACCCCCTTCCCGTCATAATCCTACTCAAACGACTGCGTCGAACAACTCACCCAGACCCCTCCGCCCTCCATAACCCCTTGTCCCAAATTATTTATCAGAACCCCGCCCCCCCCCCCCCAAACTACCCATAGCAAACCGTTCCCTAGACTACCCCCTCCCCCCCCCCCCCACCAGAACATCTTCCTATACTGACATCCCAACACTTTGCTACGTTTTATAAAACACATTTACTCCAGCCTTATTCTTTTCATCTACATCGACACCATATTATCCATACACACAAATAGAACAACATGTAGCATAAATACAACAACCCTCATTTCACCTAGAGTACACTTTTAATTAAGCGTCTATAAATAACTCAACCTCATTATGATACAGAGCGGAGACGAGCGATCAAGTGCCATATGCCTGTGACAGTTACTATTTATAGAGTCTGATGTTCTGTACTATAATGACGCTATCAACTTCAACATTATTTAAATGTTGAACTGTGAAATAAATGGTATCCGGACAAATGTGTCAGACATTAAAGAATAAGCTGTTCTAAGCTAAAGTTATTTGTTTAACCATATAGTGCCAGCGTCCCTCTTATGGGACGCTAGTTAAAAAATTGCTAAAATTTATTAAAAACTATTTAAAACACAAATTATGTTTCTTTGTATTTGGAAATGGTACGACTAGAGTATTTGTGTGTGTTTTGTGAAAAATGTTAATTTAGAAAAAAAGTTGTTATGCCGGTTTTGCTAGACTTGTCAAAATGGCGGAAAAAAAGAAAACTCGCGCACAGGAACATGCATATCTTCTAAAATATTAACATTTTTAGTGCAAAATACATTTGAAACTTGAAGCAGTACCACATTTTTATCCGATACAGATTTAAGAGTAACAATCTTTTTAACTACTTCATTATATCAAGTGTACTACAAGCGTCCCATAAGTGGGACGCTAGCAACGAATGGCCCCATGTAGATTGTTACACAAACGTCATATTTATTGGACACTAGCGAGAAACACAGATGCAAATGCTTATGTTAAATTGTTATTTATGATGGAACAATGGTTATTTTTTGTTAACTGTTGACTTTGGGGTATTAAGTAGTATTTATAGATATTTAATTAAGACCTTGACCTATATATTATCATGATCATCATTCCTTTGTGGCCCCTGGGGAGCAAAGGGCTGCAACCACACATCTCCAGTGGACTCGGTTTTGGGCTGCTCCTCTAATCTGTGCCCATGTGACCCCAGCTGTTTTCGCCTCCTCTTCAACCGTTCTTCTCCATGTCTTCCTTGGCCGGCCCACCCTCCTTTTTCCCTGGGTATTCCAGTCTAAAGCATGCCTTGCGATGTTTTCTTTTTCTCTTCATAACGTGTGTCCGATCCATCCCCACTTGCGGGCCTTAATATCTTTCTCTATTGGCTGTTGCTTTAGAAATTGCCACAGGTCTTTGTTTGATATTTTGTCTGGCCATCTTATTTTAAGTATATGTCGTAAGCATTTGTTTACGAATGCCTGTAGCCTATCACTATTTGTCTTCGTAACACTCCAGGTCTCCGAGCCATAGAGTAGCACTGCCTTGACATTTGTGTTGAAAATCCCAATTTTGCTCCGGAGTGACAGGGCCGTGCACCTTCACATCGGGCGCAGTGAGTATTACTATTATATTACTTATATATTATTTTATTAAAAAATTGAAAATAATTTTTTTTGGAAATATTTACATTTTATTTCTAAGTTTTCAGAATCACACTAACTGAAGTATTTAATACCATTGAATATAAACTAATTTAGTATTGCTGTAATATCAGCAGCACATGATTTTAAAATTATAACAAACCAGAATAATAACATTGGTCACGATTTAGGTGAAAAGATTCAGTCATTGGGTTCGGTTAACAACAGATGGAAATACTGTTCAACTCTTTCAAGCTCAAGCTAGCGATAGCAGAAATGGGACTTAGCGATGTAACGTTGTCATGTGCTAATTTTATTCCCCTCCAATGGTTCCTCATACCAGTTTTACTTTGTTAACTTTAACGAGAGTTTTTAAGGAGATTGCTGGTGCTAGGTTGGGAGCTGTTCGGACAAATCTATTTATACTGTGACTTACCTCTCCGGGTTCAAATTATCAACGGGCCGAGGACATGATGGCCCCACTCCACAGACCGAGGACATGATGGCCCCACCCCAACAGGCCGAGGACATGATGGCCCCACCCCCACAGGCCGAGGACATAATGGCCCCACCCCCACAGACCGAGGACATGATGGCCCCACCCCCACAGACGGCAGACATAATGGCCCCACCCCCACCCCCACAGACCGAGGACATGATGGCCCCACCCCCACAGGCCGAGGACATGATGGCCCCACCCCCACAGACCGAGGACATGATGGCCCCACCCCCACAGACGGCAGACATGATGGCCCCACCCCCACAGACCGAAGACATGATGGCCCCACCCCCACAGGCCGAGGACATGATGGCCCCACCCCCACCCCCACAGACGGCAGACATGATGGCCCCACCCCCACAGACCGAAGACATGATGGCCCCACCCCCACAGACCGAAGACATGATGGCCCCACCCCCACAGGCCGAGGACATGATGGCCCCACCCCCACAGACCGAGGACATGATGGCCCCACCCCCACAGACCGAGGACATGATGGCCCCACCCCCACAGGCCGAGGACATGATGGCCCCACCCCCACAGACCGAGGACATGATGGCCCCACCCCCACAGACCGAAGACATGATGGCCCCACCCCCACAGACCGAGGACATGATGGCCCCACCCCCACCCCCACAGACCGAGGACATGATGGCCCCACCCCCACAGGCCGAGGACATGATGGCCCCACCCCCACAGACCGAGGACATGATAGCCCCACCCCCACAGACCGAGGACATGATAGCCCCACCCCCACAGACCGAGGACATGATAGCCCCACCCCCACAGACCGAGGACATGATGGCCCCACCCCCACAGGCCGAGGACATGATGGCCCCACCCCCACAGACCGAGGACATGATGGCCCCACCCCCACAGGCCGAGGACATGATGGCCCCACCCCCACAGGCCGAGGACATGATGGCCCCACGTCCTGCTGATGTAAACAGCCAGAGAAAAGGTCAACACTGATGTGGGAGCCATAAACGTCTAAACGTCCGGCTCTGGCGCATTACTGGCTCATGACGTCATTCTGTCACGTCATCACTGATTTTGGTCTTTATGTGACCTGCCAGTCAGAATACAGGTAAACTGGCAGGCACGTAGGCAGGGATGAAGCCAGATTACTCCCCCCCCCCCCCCGCCCCCAATAAATCCATCATGAGGTATTTTATTTACTAAATATTTCCCATACTTGAGGTAGTAATTACAGTGAGAAAATAATAATTAGCTCTTAATTAACCCAAATGGCGAGGGAAACCACACATATTTGACACGGCACGGCGACACGTGTCATGACACCATTGACGGGCTAATGACAGATATCCATCTAATCACGTGATGACCGTCCATCTAACGTCTGCTGTCACTTTCATGCCATACCAGGGACTACTGCGGCTAGTCAACACACTTGGTCATTGACAGGTGTCGCAGAAAGACGGGTAGGTTATGTTATTCCAGTTCTCAATAGGTATGGTATTAGACGTAAGTTATTGTAGATGAATTCTCCATATACTGGCTGTATGACGTCACCTGAGTTCACCCAAACAAACGGGTACTTCACATTAGGGAAGCAATGAATGACGGTGTGGAATAGTCTAGACACTTTGGCCTAGGATGAAAAGGTCAATGAAACAGATGAACTCTACTTCATCTGCCCAATGCGTCTTGGGCATGACCGTAATATAAGTTACATTTTACTTATTCTACAGCGGTTTACAAATAATATAACTTACAATCGATTAAAATTTGCATGTAGCTAAAATATGTAAGGGAAGTAGCAAGATCTATAATTTGCACGTTGCGCATGTGCTCATAGAACATTTTTTTTGGGTATAAGTTGAGATTATTGATATTTTTAGCACATATGATCGTATTTTTGAATCATAAAGAAATTGACAAAAATCGTGAGCCCGATTTGTAGTTGGAATAAAACTGAGAAATAATCAAGGGATTACCCAGTAATGACGTCACGCTAGTTGAAGCGATTCGATGTTGCAAGTCGCACAAAAGACAATTTATTTGAAGCTACAGAGTTCTATCAATCCCATATTCTCCCATATTAAAGTTCTAACAAAAATAGCGTTATAATATGGTACAAATAGTCACATGTACCAGATATTCCCCGGTCACTCCATTACGACATGTAAAAAGTTACGAAGGCTGGTGTACTCATCACGTGATAATCCAGATTATGAGAAGTGTAATCGGGCTGTAGAGCGTTCGTCTGGTAACCCGAAGTCTTGACTTGTATCAGGGCTCGACAATGTAGGACCTCTCTGAATACACCCAGCTTAGACGGGCATCTAACTACGTTAGGGAAAGTAAAGGCTGTTGGGCATATGCCGATTTCAAGAACATATAAGCTCTAGTTTATCTATGGATCTTTAAGTTCGAATGGGGAACTTTGCTGGCTTTGTTCACTTTATAAACGTTTTTCAAATTTCTGACAGATCTGCCGCATCTGAAGGTGTACTTACAACTGACAAGGCTGCCACTGCTGGACGAGTTATCTGCCACTGAAAGAGTTATCTGCCACTAAACAAGTCATCTGCCGCCACTGAACAAGTCATCTGTCGCCACTGAACGAGTTATCTGCCGCCACTGAAAGAGTTATCTGTGCCTGAAGGACTCACCATCCTGTACCCACAATGGTTCTCACAATGAGGGGTCTTTTTGCTCTGCTCATCTTTATCCTGGTAAGTCGCTAGTCCTTAACATTTTTATAAGAGAACCTTTATGTCATACAAATGTCAGTCTTTGGGTCTGTCATACAATGTCGTCAGTTGGTCGAGCTTTAATGTCAGGACCTAATGCTAGAAGGTCTTTGTAGCTATATTATAGCCAGAAATGCCAATACATACATTATTAAATGACAGGCATGACACCCGAAGTGTCAATAGTTATACTCTTAAATGACAGACATGACATTTACACCATTGCTGCTAATGACATCTATTCCTATAATTAGCAACATAAATATGTGCTATCACGTGTTAGACTTAAGCGTACAATTGATTCTTAAACATTAATTAAATTATTACACCATAATTGAACACATATTCACAAAGTGTCCCTAATCCCCCCCCCCCCCCCACCTTTGTCTCGCCTCCAGGTGATTGGCAGGCCAGCGACCGGTCAAGGCGAGGACTGTAAGATTGAAGCACAGCCCATGATGCCACTCTTCAAGGTCAAGGAAATCTTTGGGACCGGGCACCAGCAGGAGCCCACGGATTCCAGGATCGTCTCACACGAACCCATCATCCCTCCCCCTTTCAAAAAACGTTAAACGTTTACCCCAAACCCATCATCCCTCCCCCCTTCAAAAAACGTTAAACGTTTACCCCAAACCCTTCAAATCATGCATCATCGATTTTTTAAAAAATATCCTATATATACTATCAACATTTATCATCAACATACAAGGAACATTTAACATTTGATATACGTATAACAATATCATCTATATACTTTGAACATTTATCAACCCCATACTTTCAACATTTATTGTCTACATACTTTTAACATATACCAACAACATACACTCAACAATATCCTCCATTGACTTTCAACATATATCAACAACATACACTCAACAATATCCTTCATTTACTTTCAAAGTTTACCATATGGGAACTTTTAACATTTATCAACATCAGACCTTCAGCGTATTGTCTTTAGCTGTTTACATTTCGTCCGCTTGATGTTTGTGTAAGAAATGCAAGTATCGTAATTTAACATGTAGAACACTAACGTCATATAACTTGTATTGGGATATTAAAAGACAAAACGACAACACGATTTGAGTTGATGTTTTTATATTGGTGTTGTTGTTGTTTGTAGTGTTGGTGTTGGTGTTGTTGGTAAATTTGCAATTATAAAGTTGGTGTAAAGTCTGCTGTTTTTGACAAATGCTTCCCTGGCTCAACTTAAGTTTAGGCGGTTGTTTAGTGACAGTTCTAGTCGACGATACCACGGACTGTACGCCAGTGGTAATCGAAGCCGCCAAGTAATCATAGGCAGCAATATTGTAGCAATTATTGAAGCTTTATAACAATTAGATTTTATGGAAGCTGCTTCGTAGTGTAATCAAACCAATTAGGCAAAGTATAGGGCTGGTAAGTAGGTCACCAACCAGTTCTACGGATCAATAAAACTTGCATGGGCCATAGAACAGATAGGTGACCTACTTACCAGCCCTATAGGTGATGAATACTATTCAGTAAAGTAAGAACAATGGAAGAAGTCACGTAAATCATCGGCAATCTAATTTGACCGATAGAATGTTGTAATCGAAATCATTCAATAGAGTGTTTTAATCTATGCTGTTATGTAATATGGTTAGTTAAGAAATCGGGCTAGGGTCAGGTAATCGGTATGAAAGTCAAGTAATCGATATGAAAGTCAAGTAATCGGAATGAAAGTCAAGTAATCGGTATGAGAGTCAAGTAGTCGGTATCGGTGCAACATTTTACACTGAGAGCTTAAAACCATGTACCCACAATTATCGTTACTATTTTTAGGACCAGAGTAGGAAATTCACGTTATAAAGACTTAAATCTAATGTAAACATAATGCGTAGTTTACTGGAACTAAGTAGCATTGTTCATGAGAAATATTTTCAGATCAAAGTTGGCCCATTCGTACCTGTTGGTTCATGAGGCAGATGAGGAATTATGTTCAGCTGTCCTTTACCTTTGCAGTCTTTGCGCCAGGAACTTATTACAGCTGGGTGGACTCAACGGGACTCGCATTCTGAACTCGGGTATTCTGAGTTGTGGATCCACCACCCGACAAATCAACCCTGTATCATATCAGTCGACTGCTAAAATCTAATTAAGGGTTTAATTGTGTTGGTCTCTTTTCGCTCACTCCGCTCGAGAGCACGTGTGGGACTGGCACCCGATCACCCTCTCCTCCATCCATCATCGAGAATCACCTTTAATGAAGAAACTGCGAACGTATCATCGACGGGCTTTAAAAAAAAGAATCTAATAATGAATGTTTAAAGGGAGTTAACTAAGCAAATTTTAAAAATGAATTGTTTTGTTGATTGCTTCCCTTACTTAAAAAAAAATTGGGATTTTGATCGACTTGAAAGTATATGTAATCATACTAAATCTAAAAAAAAAACTCTTAAAAATACGGCAAGCGATAAGATTATAGTTACATTTTTAAAAATTAAATCTGTTTGGGAACATGTTTTTATATTTTTGTATAGAATATAAGCCGGTGAAAAACCGTTTTCAAATATTTTATCAATTCAAATGTCCTTGAAGTCAACCGGAGGGGTGAAGAAGAGTAAAACAATTAAAGTAATAACAGTTGTTTCCCATTATAAAGTACAATAGCGGTCAATGGGGTATGGATAGCCTAGTGCTTTATTTATATTAAATAATATTACTTCCCCTACCACAACAACACACTGACTCTACTAATCCAAATAAAAAATAAAAGTGTTAGCTAAATTACTATTGTATTTCTAGTTATCATTTGTTAGAATAAGTCTAACCTTAATAAAACCGTAAGTGATTATCTACTTATTTCACAAATGTTATAAAATATTCAATTTTGGTTGAAAAGTATGCTATCCCAGGGGTCGGCAACCTTCTGAGACGGAAGAGCCAAAAGTTACAATTTATCGAATTTCAAGGTTTTTAAAGAGCCACTAACATTTTTATTTCAATATTATAATTTTGATAAGTAATATATATATATATATATATATATATATATATATATATATATATATATATATATATATATATATATAATTTAAAATAATTATATTTAAATATGAAATAATATTTATTATATAAAAACACACATGCTTCTCAGAAAAAATATTAACATATTTTATCTAGTAATCAGTAATCAAATAAACTAACTTTAATTATTGATTATTATATACAACAGTTTCGCCTTGCATGCCTTTTGAACGTTTGTTTAAACCTGGCTCATTACTTGTTTTCAGTTTTAAGCAGGCCTCTAGATTTTTATTTGTTATTTGGCTTCTTTACTTTTTATTATATTCATGCAAGAAAACACGTGAATGTTGTGTCCCAAAAAATCGTCAGCACTCCAAATGGCAAATGCCAACTTCTTTACATCACTGTAGTATTCTGGAAGACTATTCCATCAGTCACATAATAGCGCCTCCACTCGCGGCATTTCTTTTAGAGCTGTCGGGTTGTAGTGTGCAGCGCAACGTGCATGTTTTAATGAACATTCACATCTCCAAACTTGCTCATGAGATCTGTGAACTTACCACTCCACAAATGTTTGGTTTTCAAATCTAGCAATTTCATCAACCAGCATCAATTCCAAATAGCTCAAAGTTAATCTCATTTGTTTTTGTGTTGAGAGGATCTACATAGTACTTGCATTTTTTTTAACTGCTCAATTCTCTCAGTGAACTCATCCTTCATTTTGTTAATAGTAATGATGAAGTAAATCATGTTAGTAGTAGCGTTGGTTTCATCACGACATTTTTTTCACATTTTTCGAAATAAAGTTATTTACCGCAATCCGTGTCTTCAGCAAAATGAAGTAATTTTATTTTTCGAAACAAATGTCTTCAAACAAGGCATATGCTCTGTTTTCCTTTCTTAGCAGTTTTACATTAAGCTCATTTAGTTTCTTTGTGATATCCCCTTATGAAGTCGAATGTTTCAGTGTGGGATAGACAAGTTAATAGGAAGTACATTGAAATAGGGAGTAGTTAATATTCTAAGAGTGCTTATTGTTTATGTTTATTATTATATCGTTCATTACCGGGTGTTGTAGAACAATATTTTTATGAGTTTTGAAAATGAAATAAAATAATTATTAATATTTGTGAATGGAGTTGAAGAGCCGCATCTCCACCCCAAAAGAGCCGCATGCGGCTCGCGAGCCGCAGGTTGCCGACCCCTGTGCTATCCGGAACAACTAAGTGCAACCGTTTTGAACCAGCTTTTCAAGCCTATTATAATTGAAACGAACGGCGTCAACAATTCGGACTTCATGTCTTTGACTGTCTGTTTTTGTTAATGATTTCATAGTGTACAATGATGTAAAATACAACACTTAATTAACTGACATCGTTTTATTTTTAAAAATATATAAATATCCTATACAAGATATTTATTTGTAAAACATAAAAAAACGAGAGCCTACGCGTTGTTAATCTACTTCAAAAATGTTCTATGTTGTTTTGGAAGGTTTAAACCTAGCCCCGATCTTTCACCAATCACATATCCCTAACACAAATCTTTCACCAATCACATATCCCTAGCCTCAATCTTTCACCAATCACATATCCCTAGCCTCAATCTTTCACCAATCACATATCCCTAGTTACAATTTTTCATCAATCACATATCCCTAGCCACAATCTTTCACCAATCACATATCCCTAAGCCCAATCTTTCACCAATCACATATCCCTAGCACAAATCTTTAACCAATCACATATCCCTAGCACAAATCTTTCACCAATCACATATCACTAGCCCAAATCTTCTACCAATCACGTATCCCTAGCTTCCCCCACCCCCCATATTTCTATCCCCAACAACAAGTTATCCCAGTTCCAATTTCACATTTGTACACTTAAGGAAACCCCATCCCAAAATCCTATGAATAATAAACGATCTCCCCCAGTCAAATATATTTGGGGATCTGGCAAGCGAGCTGTCAGTTGATCTTAACATCAAGCTAATGTTTAAAGCGGTTATCGCCCTTGAGTTATTTCTAAACCAGCGGTATCGGGTCCATCCATAAAACAAACGTAACATACTGAATTATCGCAGCCATTATTGTAAGGAGTTATCTCCCTGGATTTGTTTATTCTACTATTATCAAGTATTGTGGCTGAGGTAAAGGGCGACCACTGGCCCTGTTCTTCCCAGAGTTACGCTAGTGATAGATGCAGTTCTAGCTGTACAAATAGATGGCGAGGTTGTGTCCGTTTACGGCAAGTTAATTTCCTCTGGCATATTGTGTTCCATAACTTATTTAGACCCCCATGAGAAAAGATTTGAATTTTTTCACGTTCAACATTTGCCGGGGTAACTGATAGGCCTACAAGCGAGATTAGGGTTGGGGGGAGGGGGTGGTGGTGGTGGTGGTGGTGATGGGGTGTGGTGGTACGGATGGCAGGTACAGACCGTCAAGCAAGATTTTAGGGTTGGTAGATACAGTTCTCTAGCTGATGCAACCATAGATTTAAGGGTGGTAGGGTTGGTAGACAGGGCATTTTTATGGGACGGAGTGGAGTGGTCAAGCAGTAAAACACACGAACACTAAACAGATAGTCTCGAGTCTAGCTTGAGACTTCCGTGTACTCCAAAGTTTGGTGAAGGGACCTGAATACGAAAGTTGGCACAGCGAACTAATACTCGGACATATGTACAGATTATGAAGAAAACAAAACACGTCGTAGTTTCAATTAAAACGGTCCTGTTTTTTACAATAAAAATCTAGACGATAAGATCTCATGTAACATAACCACCCACCCCACCCCCACCCCACTTACTCTCACTCTCCGCCCCTTCACTCAATTAATTTTAAACCTCGAGATGTGCGTGACTAAGCCTCGCTGAACGAACAAGAGCTGGTGGCGGAAGTGCATGAAAAAAACAACAATTCGATGCTGAGGTTTAGGACAACAATTGTCCAAGTCCACGAACGTGCACTTTAACAAATGGATGCGGACATGGGGGTGGGGGGGGGGGAATGGATGCGGACATTGGGGGGGGGAGGGGGGGGGACAAATGCATGCGGACATGGGGGGGTGGGGGGGAAATGGATGCGGA